ATATATATATATATATATATATATATATATATATATATATATATATATATATATATATATATATAGGTAAGATCTTAAGTCCATTCTGGATTTGAGAATTTCTTTGGAGGTGAGGCTAAATAAAATTCAGTGGCGTTGTATTATCTACTCGTATCAATGTGGGGATAAATCAACTACTACTTTTTGCACCGTCTTAGGCTACCTAGAGCAATTAAGTTATCGTTCTTATTTCGTCTATCACCTCTTCATTATCTTGGTTAGGATTGGATTCGAAATCTTTCCTTAAATAAAGTTTACAATTTTCTCACTTTATTTAAGCATTACAGAAAGTTTATTTTGATCTGTTTTTATACCTGCTCTCTTCAAGTAATACTGCTCAAGCAGCAGTTTATGTTTGTGATTTACCAATTGCACAATCACCCGGTACCCCAAAGTCAAGCAGAAGTTCGTTTGCAGTCGAACAGTCGAGGTTGGGCTTCCCTTCGGCATCTTCTGGGCCTGTCTCTAGAACTGACAGCGAAACTATGGTTGACTTTCCCCTTCCTATCCTTGGCATGCAGATTGAGCCATTTTCATCTCCTCCTGTTCCAGATCCTAATGTTTACGGCTTGCAGGCTAATGCCGAAGAGGATGAGACGGAGCTGGGTAGCATGGAGAGCCGAAAGCACGTGATTCTGCATATTCTTTCGCAGCTTAAGCTTGGAATGGATCTTACAAAGGTTAGAGTAATCTACTATGAATTCTTTAACATTAAAGATGTTATTGGTTTTAATTGTTGGTGTGCGGCAGTCCCTTCTTCATTTTTGTTAGCAAGGCTCTCATTAACTCTTTAGTAAGCTAACTATCATATACTGAAATAAATGAAAACCAATACAGGCTGATCTCTTTTAACTCTGAAACCACCTTAAAATAACAATATGATGAACGTGCCTATTGTATGCGCATAGGATCATGCATAAACGAGTAGCTAATTTGGAAAGTAAATTTTTACATCAGAACAACTTAAAATGATTGCTAAAATAGAAGATTACAAATATACCACATAGCTCTACTTATACCAATTATAGCACATAAACTTTGATAGCAAAAGTGGACAGCCAACTTGCATTAATCTTAAAGCAGGGGCCTCCTAGAAACAGAAAGGGAAACTATAATAAGGAAAACTGTATACATTGTTATATCATCCCCAAATCAGGATTAGGTTTATGCTATGTGTATTCTATATGCTCACCTCTGGTTTAGAGCAGCTTATTTCCTTCAGACTTCCTTGAGGATAATGTATAGACCTATTAGACCCATCAACAACCCTAACAGTTCGCTCAGCATCCCATTAGTTACCAATCTCAAAATAGATTTTTTCAGATTAGTAATACATTTCTTGAGTAATGTCTCCTGTATGCCTTCATTCTTTATTATGACTGAAAGATTTGAATTGTGAAATTGAATCATCTAAATAACTCCTTTCTGTTATTCACTTTAGGGAAAAATCGGAGATTTTGTTGACTTTAATACAACTTTATTTAAGCATTTAATGTCTGCATTTATATGTAAGCCTACGAACAGCCTTATACGCTGTCCCTAGCTCGTTGACTTATAATCAGTGATGATATTTACTAAACATCTATTCGAGTAGGCTTTTATATCTTAATCGAAGGTATGAAGACAAAGATAGTGTTGCCTTTAGTGTGGTCGCAATCTTCTTTCGATGTATAAAAGTTGTTTGACCTTGTTTTCGAAACTTGGTTATATTGGTAGGAAGACTTAGAGGAACGCACCTAGTCCGACGTCCATTGTATGCCTGATTATTTCCAGAGTAGAACCGTTAATGTGGTACATTCTCAGACGTTTCGCCGGAATCGTCAATGAGTCTCGCCATTCTTAACACCACACAATTCGTCAGAGACAAATGAAGCTGATTCTTTGACATAACGTGTGCTAAACATTTGTGATAATTCCCCTCCTACCCTGGTCTATTCATATTTCCTATATCATCCTATCACGCCTTTACTGTTACAATTTTTACCGTGCTTATTTCGATGTAGAGGGTGTGCTCCTTTCAGCGGCATTCATGAAAACCCTTCATACTCCACACTGTAGTTCTCACCCCATTTATCTTTGTTCTGGGAATAGTGATCGGAGTCTGCCATACTGTTACGCAGTTTTCTTTAAATAGGTCTTATCACAGTATCTCTCTTGTCCCGGAAGATCCGTCTGCTCTCTCTTTCGTTCATCTATTTCACTCGACCCCTGACACTTCATCTGTGCGACTTGAGGCGCTAATTGCCCTCTGCTGCGTCTGGGTGGTTAATTCGAGGCTAAAGCCTCTAAGTAAGTCTCGTCAAGCCTTTGCTACATGGAATACGTCTATGGTACAACAGACCTTCAGTCAACTAACAACGTCTATTCTCCACCGCGTCTATCCTGTTTCTCTCCCTGATACCAAGTCCTTGACTTCGTATGTACTGCTTGCTTTGATTAGGTTCAATGTTGAACCACAACGTTTGTGGGTTGGCACACAAGAGACTAGGGCATAGAATGTCATAGACTTGGTATTGAGGATAGAAACAGGATAGACACGGCGGAGACTTGAGCCAGATGGCTGACAGTAGGCCTGTTGTAGCATAGACATGGTCCATGAAGCAAGGGCTTGACGATGAGACTTATTCAGAGGTTTAGCCTCGAATTAGTCACCCAGACACAGAGTATGGCGAATAATGTCCCGAGTAGCACAGATGGGGTGGCAGGGTTCGAGTGAAATACGTGAATCAGGCAGATAGCAGACGGATCTTATGGGGCAAGAGTTTAGACCTAGCGAAGACTGTGT